TATTTTTACTCTGTGGTAAATCGTCACATAAAAAGGCGCGACAAGATGATTAACGACAAGTGAGGATTATGGGGGCGCGCGGGTCGCCCGTTCGATTCCCGGGTTAAGCTGACTGGAGTTCGTAGACGTCTTTTATGTGTGATAAGATGAACGGTTCGTGTGAAAAAGAACTGTATCGCGTTTAGGTGTTCTGAGAAATGAAGTGAGATTTTCTTTCAACGTTTTTAGAATATTTATTTATTTATTTCGGTGGCTTCGAAATAATTTGAATGAAGAATAATGAATGAATTGACTTGTCGTCCTCGGGCGTCATAGCATTTGATAGCAATCTTATTTCTTGTCATAGGTAGTTATTTTCTCGTTATATTTGTAGCTTCGTTGACAATATTCAAATCAATTTGTATATTATTTTTAGATGTCACAACACAGTCTCGGTTTGTTTATCTCTTTATAAAACTACACAGTAAATACATTTTATTTTTTTAACACGTTTAACTGTTTAAAACGCGAAGTAATGGCTTTGTATTTATAATCACCCGTATTGGGCTAAATTTTAAACAAGTTAACGAATATATTTCGCGGTTTATATAGTTAAGTGTTTTATAAAAATTTAATATGTTCAAGGTTTTATTCTAACCGAATATTACGCTCCGGTATGCTGTTAGTCGCGAGTTTGAATTCCGCCTGCGTCATTAAAGTTTTCCATCTGTTATAATATGCTACCTATGTATTAAAAATATATAAAATCTATTACAGGTGAGAGAAATATTACATTTAACATGTATATTGTGTTTAATGTTAGCCAGGAGCGGAAGCTCGTAAAAACGTCGGCGGTCCATTGTCGGGCGCGCGTTATGTCGATATCGATAATCGATAAGCCATCTCGGTGCGCATCACTAGTGATGTATTCAAGCTGTGACAATTCTGTGAAAACGGTTACTGTTTTCATTAAATAGGAACAAATGATCGAATACACTGGAACAGTAAGTGAAATCGAAGATACTTCTATTCTTTTGTATTTAAGAACTACTTGTTATTTATTATCATAACATAGAAGCAGGATAAAGCTGTTTTTATACTTATCTCAATATATTGGAGTCAAATATAAAATTTAATTATGTTTCTATGTGTGTATGGGATGCTTGAAAATATTAATCACTATCCAATACAAATTTTGACCGGCTCGTTGGTCTAATAGTAGCAATCTATATCATCAACGGATCGTAGGTTCGATTCCCACCAGATGCAACAAGATTCTAATTTGTTTGAAACATGCTAGACTTTGTCTGGAATTTTGGATATAAAATGGGTGGTAGAAATTCCGTCCGGGTCGCATATGAAAAAGCCGTGAAACTTAATCGCGTTTTAGTTTCAGTCTGTGGATTTCCGAATATCCAAAGCCAAAATAGGTCGACACCGCATCTGGTTCAGATGCTATAGGCTGGGGTATATCACTTACCATCAAATGATTTACCCCATGTCCTCCTCTTATAGTAGTAAAAGTATAATATAAGTTATAAAAGTAATTAAATATTTACTACTCATAATTATTACTATGAATGAACCGTTTTATTTCTTGAGAAAACAAACATCTTGTTAGGAAAACCACAAAAATACCGCCAATACCGAAAATCGAGAAATTTATTATGCAATAAAAGTAATTTATAAAAAAAGTAATAAAGACGAGGTTTATACGGAAAGTAATATAAGACCGCTCGCTCTTCGTCGAATAAATTTTCCTTCGGTCATTCTAATTTCCTTTACGATTCACTGATATCACTATATTGTGTCGCTGGTTTGCGAGTCTCTTTTCAAAGTAAAAAAATAAATAAAAAAGGACTCTTATTAGCTTCTAACTTTGGTTGGTCAAGTAAGGTGTTAAGTTTATTTTGTACGTATAATTTAAGTGAAAAATTGTCTAAATGCTGGTTTATTCTCTATCCTCTTTTCTTTGTGTATCGGCTCCCACTGATCTGCTTTCTAATAAAAGAAGAATTACTTCACCTCCTAATCCAACATTTTTGGCTTACGATGTTATGTAAGGAAAAATTGTATATTTTTCACATGCTTTTTTTTTGTTTTGCACACGATGGAATTATATAAATTAAAAATTGATTTTTATTGAAAAAAATACGACACGGGTTATGTTGCTCTAACCAATTGAGCTACCGTGCATACACCTTTTCTATTACCTACACGTCATCGTTGATTTTTTTTGCTCAGAGCACGGTATGCTGTGGATGACGGTGCAAGTCCATCCCGTGGTGTAAATTTATTTCCACCTAAAATCGATTTAATATGTATTTCTTTATTGGGTTATTTTCACATTTATTACTTCAGTCAGCTGCTTGAATAGGGAACCGACTCTGACCGATCACCGGTCAAAATGAAATGCCGCCTCAAAAACGCGGCGTTTGAACCGCCCGTCTACTCATCACACATGATGGCTGTCACTCAGTCACAAGACTAGTCTGGTAAAACGTTATTATTGGCTCGGATTTCTGGAGATATTTCTTCGTGTGGGTAGGCGTTATTTATCCCTTTACCCAATATTGAGATTGACAATCCCCTTGTCTAGATTTATAAGAATCTATTTTCTCTGCGTCGACATTTATAACTCCCTTTATATCAGAATGGCATGTTTTGACGTCGTTCGTGCGACACTTTTGTATGGGATTGTACAACTATTCAGTTAACTATCGATGCCTCTTTTGTCCTATTTAAAGTAAAACTAAGTAATAGTAAAGGTTATAATTAGTAGGCACTCGTTTCAGAACAAATCACGAACTTTAGATCTGTGGATTTCCGATTATCCAAAGCGAAAATAGGTCCTATATACGACATTTCACCTACCATACAGTGAACTCCACGTTTGCCTTTCTCGAACATTAAAAAAAAACTAATTCAATTGTTTGAAAACTAGCGAAAAAAATCTTTGAACTAAAATATCTTTGAAGAACAATATGATAACAAAATAACAATTCTTTGTTTTTTTCTCTTAACCTATAAAAGAACCTACCGAACAAAAATATAATATCAATGTTACCAATTCTATCTAGTGTTGTGCGATGGTTATCGATTATCGATTAAACTATTCCGAACGCAATCGACTCGTTATTGTACGCTCGATTTGTTTGAAATTCGAATTGAAAGGGGTTGAAGAAATTGTTTGAGTTCGCTATTTGAACTGCGATCGTTGGTAATGATATGATTTAAGGTTGAGGGGCTTAAGGTATTGAGTTTTTTTTTAATTAGGGTCCAGGTGGGGTTTGTTCTAAAATAACAAGCTCTATTACCGTTTATTAGGCTATTTAATACTTATTACTGAACAACACAAGGGCAAAGCTTTTAATGGTATAGATTTTATCATAAGTGCACCGTTACTTTCAAATATTAAGTTATTTTTCAATGTAGATTTTATGGCAGAGGACTTAAGATCATGGGGTCGATTAAAGGTGATATACGCCAGCAACATAACTTCAAAACTAGATGTATTGTCAACCTATTTCACATTCGGACACTTACAATTCTAAATTTCACATTCCTTACAAAGAAGCATTTATATTCTTGATATGCAAACAAACAAAGACTCAAATTTATGCGCAAATACAACACTATAATATTATATGCATTTATCGCATAAATCAGCTTTTGGTCGCTAGAAAGATCTTAATACAATTCCATGAGTGATGTACACAAACAAACAACTTCAATATCGATAGGAATGTCTGAAACATCGATAACAATTTAAATTAAATTTAGATTCAATAGGTATTACGAGAATTTAATTTTAAAGAAATTATATAAATAATTTTATATAAATTATAACATAGTACTTACTTATAATAATAACAAAGTCGGCTGCTAAGTACATATTATTGGATATTCGTTTGTTTCTTTACCCAATGGACAATAACAATATTGAATCTATACTAATATATAAAGCTGAAGAGTTTGTTTGTTCGAACGCGCTAACCTCAGGAACTACGGGTTCGATTTGAAAAAAACTGGGTAGATCAACGCGTTAATAAAACCTCTACGTTGTATTACTATGCTAAATTAATAGCGATATTTGAATGGAATATAATTTCTTATCACTTATTTGTCCATGTCATTTCACTGCGACATCGACTATCGATTAAAACATCGAAATGTCGACAATCTCTATCGAGCACTGAACATCATTTTGAATACTACATAAATCATGGAGACATACGCCCTATCTGTTCTCAGCTTAATACGATCCCCGAAACGTCTGGGAGGGGTTAGGTGGGGTTAAGAGGGGTCCCGATCGGGGTAGGTTGAGTTTTTATTCGTTATAAGCAAAAACGGAGAAGTTTTGATAGGGCATTCGATGCGATAGATCTGTTTTTGACTTTTAATTTGAGTTTTTGTAATTGCGGTTCGAGTTGTGTTTTAATTGATGGCATGAGGAATCGATTTCGATAGTTTTCTATGGGTATAGCCGTCGCGTTTTAATCATATTTTCAATCTGTACATAGTTTTAAATGTTTTTCATAAAGCTATATATTTGTACTAGCTGACCTGGCGAATGTTCTTATGAAGTGTTTTAACGAAACGTTTCTTGTGGGTTAGTCTAGAAATTCTTATACTGTCGCGGACATTTGTTTACTTAAAGAACAGTAATCCTTTTGCACACAATTTTTTGGTATCTTCAAGATACCAAAAAATTGTTTGTTTGTTTATTCCTATTTTTTGTCTTTATATTGTCGGGTCTCCGGTTAGTAGATACAATGTGTGTTAGACGATGAAATTCATCACTTTTAAATGACATAAACCCGGCCAATTTCTACTACGGAACGGAACAGATGGCGCTAACGTAGCGGTTTTTACTATGACATTAGAAACACCCTCCATCTTTAGTCTCCCCATGACCACTGCAAAGTATCTCCGGGCCGTAGTTAAAATAATTTTAAAAATAGTTTATACTAATACATTTCGCTTTAAAGTGTTACATATACACAGCATGAAATAGATACCTGTATGCCATTCTGATCTGTTCTCCGTTCTTGTACCAGATGAGTTGAGCTGGAGGGTTTCCCCCGCGACTTCTGCAAACTAGTTCTAGACTCTGGCCGCGTCTTACTGTCTCACCCTCTGCGTAGCCTTCAATGTAGGGAGCACCTGGGGGATCTAAAAACAAACATCTTTATTAATACTTTAGTAACTAAGCTAAACATAGTCCTTATGGTTTTTTAAACCAGATGGAACTCTTGGCTAATCTTTTGAAATAGGACACGGTAGCTCAAATGTTAAAAGGAGCAACGGAACGCTTTTCTTATTTCTAAAATCAAATAGAATCCCCTCCTAAGCTGGCAATGTACAACTTTCTTAAGCCTCAGATTAATTTACACTCCTTATTAATTCCCATTCTCTCCACGGTTCAGATCTCATTTCACACTGAACCCTAAACGTGAAGGTTTAATTTTTCAAATTGCGCGTTTAATTTAAAAGGTTGAGTAATTTTTCGCAAAGAAAAACCTTATTTACTCTAATGTCACTTAACACTTTTCCGAGCGAATGTACAAGATGATTGCTGTTTACAGTTTTAATAGAATAAACTAATAGTCTATTATGAACATAGCACTTACAAAGACGCTTACTTGGATTGGTCGTTGAAAAATTGTGTTCACGAAATATATTAAATAAAGATGAGATCAGAGGTTTCGTCTGGTTTTCGCTTTGCATTTAAACGTAGTTTACGAGTGTATGAACTTTTTTGATCTACCTACATCGTTGTTGCAAATTTTGTAAACGGTTTAAACAAGCGAAATATGTGAAAAACTGACGTTTCTAAAGCTTTTAAAAAGTCGCAGTTATCTCATGTTACTGCATGTGTTGGCATAATATAAATTAAGATTTAGTTCGTTTGACACAGTAGCTCAGTTGGTTAAAACAACAGCACGTTTTCTCTGATAATGAATCAAGTTCCTCCCGTGTCTTTCATTTGTTTCAATAAAAATAATAATTCTTAATACGTATGCATCAACTTGGGTTGAAGAAATTCGACGATGACGTGTGAAGCACGTGCGGTCAATTGGTTAGAGCAGCACGGAACGCCGTGGTCGTCGGTTCAAATGCACATACCATATATCTTAATTAATACATAAGTAACTTAGCTAAACACAGAACTTATGGTTTTAAAAAACTACTGAGATTTACTTGTACGAAAACCTCTTTCCTTTTCTGTTAAAATAGGACATGGTAGCTCAATTGTTTAAAGCAGCGGCACGGTTCGCTGTTGATGTCCCGCGTCGTAAATTTTTCAATGTAAATAGATTTTTGATCAACAGTTTTTTTTGCTCATTGTGTACCACTTGCGTAACACACCGCGTGTGCATACACAAAACAGATAATTATAATTTCTGAGCATTTTTGATGCGCTGTAAATATAATACTTAAATAACATAATAAACATTTCCTTACCAAACAAATGGCACCGGAGCGAACAGAGTCTGTTTTAAAATTGGACAGAAGCGAATTTTACGTAATTCCAAGGCAAGTCTTGATGTTTATGTTTGTAATTAAGCCCTCATTGTAGCGCGTGGGATCACACCGCCGTGTAACAAAGTGGAACTCGGCTTCAGACACTGTTCGTAGGTTTTTAATACATATATTGTGCCAGCGACTTCGTCCGCGTATAGTTATTTTGGCGTCAAGTTTCATTTTTATAAATTATATCTGTTACCCACGACATCGGTCGCGTCCCGTCGTTCTTGCACGAAAATCTGCGGTCATTTAAATATCTTTCTTTTAATCATATTTTTTTGTATTCTTGAACCGTTTTCGAACTCAATGATGAAAAATTTTCCCAGTTTGTTCAACATTTTTCACCGTTTCTTCGCTCCATGGTCACAGCGTGATGTTTTATAACCTTAAACCGCTGTCAATAAATGTTCTAAGTCTAAATCTGTGGATTTTCGAATATCCAAGGCCATCCTCATCCTCATTTCACCTTCCATCAAGTGAACTCCACGTCTGTCCTTATCTATCATTAGAAAAATACCAAACTGACTCGATTTTCGAGCACATGACGTCATTTTGCATCATCGTCGTAGAGTGCATGGTTGAAAAATAATTCCATAACGCAAATTTTAAATAACAAATACCTAGTTGTAATAATTAAAAATTGTGACAAAAAACCACCCTGGAGATATTCAAAGTCGTTCTTTACACAACCGACAACACTTCATTGTGTGTACAGTTTTTTATTTTTTTAACATTCCATATTTTATGAATGACGTAGTGATGTGCAATATTACCAAATCGATACCGTCTGCAGAATATTCGCATATTTTTTCCTAATAGGGCAAAATAATTGTTATTGAAGAATACTATTACCGAACTACATAACGGAATTCCAAGTACACTCTATGAGCGTATAATTAGTTTATCCTGAAGCATGGAGTTTATTCCGAAGACTTAAAGTCAATTAATCATTAATAATTACTTGTTTCTCTAGATGCACTAGAGCACTATTTATTCCATTAGGAACTGTATTTTAAAAGCGATTATTTATAAATGTATTGTAAAAAATTATTGGTTGCACTTTGGTGGTGCCAAAAACAAACCTTAGTTTTAACGTTCTGAATTTTTTATATATTACAATATTCAGATAATAATTTTAATTGTCAGTATCCAGTATATTGCATAGTATCATATACTTAAAATTAGAGGGTAAATGTCTACATTTTTACCAGTCACAAAACATCGCAGCAGAAAAAGTTTTGAACTCGAAAAAAATATCGACACACTCCCGACACTATGCAACCCGAGCATAGGGGAAAGAAAACAGCAACGTAATTATACAGGCTGATGGAATTTAGCACCCTCCGTGATACACGCTGTATATCTCCGTATAATGGCCTATTAAGCGCGGCGACACTAAAAATAACTACACATTATGCAAGCACACTGTAACTTGGTGACAGGGATATTGTCGTTCAACCTGGTTCCTACAGGATAAACTTTATATTGATAATCGTAACTCCTACTGATTAAGTTTAAAACACATGCGATCACCCCGGATTAATAATCCCGGGATTCAAACTTAGGACGTCTCTTAATGACTCTACCAAAAGTGTTCAAACACACCACCAGCCAGCTGTGATACTTTATAATAAACAGCTAGACTGAATCAAGACTCAATACTAAAACTAGCGCCAGAACCATCAGGCTCCACCCCCCGGGATCTAAAGCCCTGGACTAAATCTTTCCACGTCCTACCTTAAATCCAACATGCACACTATAAATATTTATAAAAGGGAATATAGAAAGCATTTCGGCCTGTCGACGCCTGTCCAAACAGATTTGGAATTGCAAAGTATATTTTGTGACGGCACACTCTCCGCGCTTCTATGAATTATTAATTATCTCCTCCTTAGTATTTACTTTGGGAGTTTTGTGTGAATACGGCGCTAGTTTTACATGATCGATAGCGTGTAGGTATGGGACATAAATTCGCGTGAAAAGATTAAACAAATTCGATTGAAGAATTATATTTTACTTAATGTAATGATTTATGGACAAGAGAGACGTCCGGTGTTCGATTTCAGGGGAAACACACTAAAATAGTTACAATCAAATATAGCGTAACCATGCTTGTAAAACAAGAAATTAACAAGTTATCTCAATCTTCCTTACAATGTGTTAAATTAAAACAAATACAAATAACTTTACTATTTTTATACATTTAATGGTAGGTGAAATACTCCAATCTATATCATCTAAACAAGATGCGCTGCCGGCCTATTTTAAGTATGATATGTATAAGAGAATGCATTGATACTACCAGCATCCTTTGGCTAATGCGCGGAGGTGAGTAGAATACCAATTAATTCAAGTTGAAATCAACATCGGCTCGTAATAGATATCAATAATTCATAGGTCGGCGCCACTCGAGCGAATCGTTTGTTTTTAGCTCGTTAATGGCAGACGTCACGTTTACTCCACCGCTTCGGAATGTCAGCTGGTAGTAATTAGTATAATTATAATTTTGAAAGGACGCCGTCGCGCTTGAATATTCAAACGTACGAGCGATGTAAAAGATATTCGTTAAATCTCTACTGATATTATAAAGCTGAAGAGTTAGTTTGTTTGAATTGAGAAGATCTTTTTCTGTTGACCATTTACTGAAGAAGTTTCTTGGCTATGTAACATGACACTGCGACTAATAGAAGCGGAGAAACAGTGGAAAAATTGGGAATATTATTCATCTTCGAGGGCTTCCGTTGCGCTGCAAAAACGGTTCAAGAATACAACAAAAATATATATAAATCCATCTTTTAAAATTTAACTCGCAAGAAGGACGTGATTCGGATATAATTTATAAGCTGATGAGGTCGCTTGAATAAATAAATTTTGTTTCCCAAAATAACTATTCCACGCGGACGAAGTCACCGGCACAGCTAGTCAGTTATTTGCATAGATGTCAACGCGATCGAAACTTACTAGTTACGTTCCGTATATATAACAACTACGTCTACGCTGTCTGTGTGTCAGCAGAAAGAAAAAGAAATGTGTTTGTGCCAGTCGAACAACAATGTCATTTTTTTCCCTTATACTCGAATCTAAGTCTAACTAACCTTTTAAATAAAACACTGTAACGTTTCAGAACGCGGTATATTTTAGTTAAACTTTTTGTGAATTATTTTTAACTACGGCCCGACGTTTCCCCGTGACCACGTCTGCTGCAAAGCATCCGAAACGTCGGGCCGTAGTTAAAAATAATTCACAAAAAAGTTTAACTAAAATATATCGCGTTTTAAACCATTCAAGTGTTTGATAGTATCTAACTAACTAACCAATTCTAACTTGATCATTTTTTACAAATGATTATCACGAAAAGTGAAAAGCTAAGACATAAAACTGATTTAAAGGCACCATAGATTAATATCACAGATAAAGCACAGACACGTCGGGACGATTTGTTGCCGCCAAGTAATTGTCTCATAACGGCACGATGAGTGAATCCACGGCTAATCCCTAATAAGTGCCGCCATCCACAACTCGCCCCAAGTGACGTTTCCTCGTGTCCAACTTATATTTTTCTTGCAATTAAATTTTATTAGCGCTACGATTCTCCTTTTCACATTCGGACATTTCTCGCGACTAATCGCTGTACTATAAAACTGTTATAAGGTTTCGTTTTACTAGGTAGATCTCATTTTATTTTATTGATTTTTGAATCTGTGTGTCTTGTGTCGGGTCTCTTAGAAGATATACTTCATTTAACTTCTACATAATATGTGTAGGTTGTGTTGTAAAAAAACATACGACCAGGAGAAATAAACCCTACACTCAGTTGAGGTCTTTAAAACTATCAATAACATTAATTGATTAATTAGCAAAAAAAAATTGTTTATAAGAAATAAAAGGCTTTTTTCCTGCTATAATAAATAGCAATAAGTAAAATCAATATTAAAATGCATACCATAACAAAACATATCCATACTAATATTATGAAGCTGAAGAGTTTGTTTGTTTATTTGAACGCGCTAAACACAGGAACGACTGGATCGAATTAAAAATATTATTTTTATGTTGGCTAGAGACTTCAGGAGCGCAGAAACAGTAGAAATTAAAAAGAAAAAAAAACGGGAAAATTCGTCCTTGTGTTTTCGTTGTGTGCGCAGCGAAATCGGTAGAAATACCCAATAAATAGGTATTAAATAAATATTCCTTTTAAAATAACCTCAAAAATGTGCGCAACAGTATATGTCTATCTTTTAAAATAAACTCACAAAAACCGTTTTAATGGTAATCAAATTGATTAAATAAAACAATATTAAGTAAACCTATTTTTAAAAGATAAAAACTCCATGGGACGATTCTTGTTTTCGAGAATCATCTATGCTCTTATTAGGATTATTCGAGACCTAAAAATAAGGTAAATTTACCTCCCGCGTGGAGTATTTGTAACGAAATTAGGCCGCCACACGCTGCGTTTGTCTTTGACAAATATTTATTTATACGTTAACTTACATACTCGTGTCTGGTAACTGTTGCAATGTAACATTTCACGCACACATTTACAGGAAACACACACAAGAATATTTTGTTTTCACGTGGCCAACATACGCTTAGACACTAGTACCGAACTCAGTTTTAGGTATTGGGATAATCTCAAATATTTGTTATCTGTAGATATATTAAATATACTGATCTGGTATTATTTGTAGTTGTAGTGTTTGTCTGTGTACGCGAGAAGTAAATATTGAAATACTAGCGAATAGTACACGTTTAACGGTTTAAAACGCAAAATATTTTCTTATATACAATTTATGAAGTTAAAGTTTAGCTCGACTTATTTCAAAGTGTTTTTAACTGCGGCCCGACTTTTTAGATGCTTTGCAGTAGCCGTGGTCGCGAGTCGTTTTTAGCCGTCAAAGTGTTTTATTTAAATGTGTACTACTTGCGTAAACAGACAGCATTAAGCTTTTACATAGTTTAACTACTTACATTGCACACTGAGTTGTATAGTACTCCTCATCGGTGAGTCTCTATGCAGAGCTTCGTGTCGGGCCTCACACGTGAAGTCCGCGTAATCATCCTCCGACGTCGCTTTGAAATGTACCCTGTTGAAGAGGAAATAGTTACACATACGTACATCAGAAAAAAGGTTCAAAATTATAATTACATTTTGTCTATTTATATGTAGGAACTTCTAGGTCTGTGAAACAATCGTTCAAACCTAGAATGGTACTAGTATTTTTTTTAAATCAATACCTCTCAATACCTATTTAAAAAAACACTAGTACGTAGTAGTAGGGGAGACAGCCAGTAAGATTCAGTTGATGGGAGATAAAATACCTCAGTCATATAATCTAAACAGGATGCTCTATCGACCTATTTTCGTCTTGGATATTCAGAGATCCACAGATTGAAACTTAACGCCTTCTTCATCTATGGTCCGTGTTTCTGACCCTGATGGAATTTCGATATTCCCCCCATTTAATATACAGATTTTCAGATGAAGTCCAACATGATGGACCCGGTGGGGATTGAACCCACGACCTGAAACCAACGAGCCCGTCGGAGTGTTAAGTGGTTACATTAGATAAAAAAAAACGCATCAATGCTTTAATATATTTCGTATGATGATGCCATTACAAAAACACGGTAGCTCAATTGATCCCCCCGTGACCGCGGCTGCTGTAAAGCGTCAAAACGTTGTTAAAATAAGTTGATATTTAGCATTTTAAGCCTTTGTATGTTGTTCTACTACTCGCCTAAACTAGAGACATAACTCAACTAATTTTAAACTGAAATCTGCTAAATAGAAGCGTTCGCTTAAGAGATTGTCACTGAAAATAACTTCGTATGCTCTCAGGGATTAATTGACGCCCACACTTCTGAGCCACCTTGCGATCAAGTATAGATTACGTCAGATAACGTTGATAGATCAGTCCGTCAACTAATTCGAGTAGTAGTCATAATAAATCGTGGTGTCTCATTATCTTCTCTCGTGTCGCGGCTAAAATTTTAATTGAACGCCATTAATGTTTTAACTACGACATGAGAAATATTTTAATTTAAGAACAGAAGCATCCGTCAAACGTTGGAGTTAAAATACCCTAGCCATATAACTTCTAAGCAAGATGCGATGACATATTTCGGCTTAAAATATTCGGAAACTCTCATAGAGAAACCGTATCGGAAATCAATTTTACGAATTTTTCATCTGTGGACGGTGGTTCGCGGAGTTTCCATATTGTTACCACGTTTTAGCAAATTATTTATTTACTTACAATCATTTTCAATTTATTTCAACTACTACCTGACGCTTTGGATACTTTGCAGTAGCCCTGTTCACGGGATGAGTAAAGAACTCTAACATCATCTCTGCGCTAGCGCCATCTGTCCCGTCGTAGTTGGTATTTAGCGAAACTGGCTGGGTCTCTTCATAAGTTATAATTCGTTTATTTACCACTAACGATGTCCGTTGTTGCGATTGTAATATAGTGCACGACATCGGGTCGTAGTTAATAGAAAATATAACTGAACAAATATATTTCTCGTTTTCAAACAGTTTTATTAGAATCCGCCATTGACTATTTGTAATACAAAATTTGTTCGGCTATTTACATCATTCAGCACAATATAAAAATTGCCCTCAATATATTTTTACCATTTTGAAATGTGTTGAAAATAAATTCCATATAATTCGAGATTCGTTGAGATTAAAGCCAGCGCCTGTCGTGGCTCTGACGTGAGGAATTATGGCGAGTGTAAACCGAATTTTAAATCCAAACTAGTTTTTAGTTATATTTCAGTCTGAAAATGAGGTTACGTATGGAGTTCAGTGAAGAAAATTAACTTGTAAAGATATAAATGTGCATTTTCCCACTTATCGAACAATTAAATATAAATAACAATACAGACACACACAGATAATATAAACTAGGAGATCCGACAAGCGTCGTTTTGCTATAGAAATTATTTCTAGGGAATTTCCCAAGTGAAAAATTTGGTAATGAAGCGATGAAGACATTTATAAAAAAGTTAATTACAAACATTGATTTATTGTCTGGGGGATGGGGAAATGGGTGAAATGGTCAGCGGACAACGTGGACTGATCACCCGTCCTGCCGAAGGTGTCCCCGATAGAAAATAATAATTGTCTGGGGGAATAACTTACGAAGTGATACTTGATCAGTTTATAACTTTAATTTTCACATGGTGGCACTATATGAATTAAAAATTGATAATAAAAAAAAATACGATTCGGGCAGGACTGGAACCCGCAACATCAGCGTTCTGTGCTCCGTCCTCTATTGAGCCATGACCAATTGAGCTACTGAGTCCTGATCGGTTAAAGCAACAGCGCGAACGCTGAGGATGCCGGCACAGGTCTGCCCGATTTTCAATTTACTAACGATTTTCAAATCAAAGCGAACATTGGGCCGTAAGTAAAATACTTTGTAAGCGAGTTTACCTAATTTAAACATTTAAATAAAACACTTTAACGGTTTAAAACGCGATATTTTAGTTAAACGTATTTGAAAATGATTTTTAACTTTCGGCCCGGCCCTCCCCGTGGCCACGGCTGCTGCAAAGCATTCGAAACGTTGGTCCGAAGTTAAAAATAATTTCAAATAACTTTAACTAATACTAGTTGCGTAAACTATAGACAGCATTTAATTTAAACATGTTTAAAACCGCTAAAGGTGTTTTATTTAAACATAATTACGGCGTATTGAAACTCCGAACATTCATTACGATGTTAAAATATGTACAGTAAACGCTGAAGGGCGGCTGATTGCCTATCAGTTGATGTGGGTAAATAAACTTGAGTTTTCGCCATCAATTCACAACTTCGTCCAACTTTCATCCCCAGCCATATGTATGTTCGTGGAATTGTAAGCTATGGATGTGGCCGACTTCAAGTGTACTGTGGGGGGTTATAACGCCATAGAATTACTACTTATGTTTAAAAATTACCGAGAGGCACTGGGTTTAATTCTAGTTACAACAATCAGTTAAACAGGACAAGTATGATGATCTATTTTTAAATAAAACACTTGAACGGTTTAAAACGCAATATATTAGTTAAACTTATTTAAAAATGATTTTTAACTTCGGCCCGACGTTTCGGATGCTTTGCAGCCGCCGTGGTCACGAGGAGACTAAAAATCATTTTCAAATAAGTTTAACTAATATATCGCGTTTTAAACCGTTCAAGTGTTTTATTTGAATGTGTACTAATCGCGTAAACTATAGACAGTGTTTAAGTATGATGATCGTTTAAATTTAAAATTAGGCACTAAAACGGACACATAAATGTATCTGAAAATAGATTTTGACTTTGATTATATCTAAAAATTTGTACATAAGCTTATATTATGTTATTCTTTATTTTTTGTGACGTTTAAATGCTTAAAAAAAGAATATATCAAAAATGTTTCGTAAGTGTTTCGTCAAATTGGGTATTCATATAAATATTGTCCGCTCTTGTATTTTATTGTTTTAAATACCGCCTTTAGTTTACGCGACTAGTACACATGTAAATAAAACCACTTTCAACTGGTTGAAATGCGAAATGTATTAAACTTTTTTATAAATTATTTTAACTACGTTACTAGGTGGAACTATGCATATGGCAGTAGCCGTGGTCACAAAAAAAATAGTTTTAATAAAACATTTTGCGTTTTAAACAGTTAAGTGTTTTATTTAGAAGTTTAAAATTTGCCTTAAATATTTGTGAAAACTTGTCTCTCTTTTTCTTACCCTCGCTATTCAGCTTTTGATCTGTAACTTTTCCTTCGATATGAAATATTAAATGGGAAATGTCATTTCGGTAAGCACATCTAGTGAGCCACTCGCACTCCCGCATTTCCCGTGTCGCGTCAAAGCGAGACATTTTGCAAAAAGTAATTTATGTTTGCACGCTTGTTGTTAGATGAAACATAAGGAAATAATATGAGTTACAAACTTTACTCGCGTTTAAATTTTAACAACGCAATTACGCGAATGACTCTTTGTTTCGGCAAAAATTTCACGAACGTCGCTGGATTTTTGTTTGACGACTTCAGATGTTTTATTGTGCTTTTACAGGACGGTTTAAATACTTGTTGTCTGATTTTAATTTACACAGATAAAACTACAATGCATAAAGTTGGAGGGTAGAGAAATGTTTAACGGATTGGTTTAATTATAGCAATATATTAGTAGTAATAAATGGATCGTTGATTCGTTTCTTTTATTTATAAATATTACCAACTACAGTACATGATTAAACTTACAAAATCATTTTTTAATAATTATTGTTCCTATTCAATAAAGATAAAAATAAACTTTGTAGTGTAAAAAAAAACCTAAACTAAAGATGATAAGTTAATTTACAAATTTTATAAGAAACTAATCCAAATTTTAGATGGTAAAATTTATAACTTTTTTACTTGAACATATTTAACTTGACTAATAAATCTAATTGATCCAATTTAAAAACACAATTAAAAACTTTACGGTCATTCAATTCTTTGTCTGCAAAATTTCGAAATACATCATCGAAATTGCGTACAGTTTACACGCAAACATATTTATATTTCCTATCAGGGCCTCAAACTAATTTAGTATATGACAATTTCTGCCAGAATGTGACAAGGGTCCGAATGACTGGCACAGATTGCGGAATGAAATAAATTATAACGCACAGATTGTTCTTTGCATACAATGGGGCAACATTCGTAATCCAGTGTGGATAAGATCAACATTCGTGATCTAAAGAAACCGAAAAATACCTATAAATAATACTATTTTGTCTTATTTTTTAAGGCAATCTAAACAGACGTGTGTATAGATCAACTAAAAGTTACCTGCATCTAGAATAAAGGCTTTGACAATTGAGCCATGGACGTGATATCATTTATTAACGGTCTCATTATCCGTATTCATAATAACATTTATGAATATAAATTTGAGGCTCGAAAATATTGATAATCAATTTCAGTGCTAGTGAAAGAATATTTAAATGTTTAAACCAGAGGTGAGCAACCTTTTTGATAAGATCTCAGAAATTTCAAAATATGACGTTCGTTTCTAGGAATTTAAATATTAAATAACAAAAACATAGAAAATACTAAGTTATATGTATTTTTTTAACTAAATTATGTAGTTATAAAGTGTAGTGTAGTTTCATGATGTTTTTGTACTTTAAATTGTTGGAGTCGCTCACTTCTGGTTAACTTATACTGTTTACCTAATAACTTAATTTAACAATAGCAATATTATATTAATATGAAATAATATTATAAAATAATTACCTCGATATTGTTGTATATCTCAAAGATTTTGGATTTCCGCTTGGGCTGTCGACCTCTCTGATGTCTTCGTTTGCAACTGTAAAACAAATTCTTTAGATTAAGACATGTTGAGACGCGAATAATCATAATGTTTTTTTGCATTTCAAAATATATAGAATATTTGGAAATGCTCGTTGTTCTAATAATAAAAATGCTAATAATCAACGGATCGTGGGTTTGATCCACACCTGAAACAAGTTTGTTTAACCGCCTTTCAGTTTCAGTCTGTGGATTTCCGCATTTCCAAAGCTAAAATAGGTCGACAGAGAATTTTGTTTAGATTTTATATAACTGGGATACTACACTTAAGTTAAAGAACCTCATGCGTTTTAATCTACTTGTTGAATTATCTCACGAAACATCTGTTGGTACAAATAATTCAGCATGAAAAAATACAAGCGCAACATCAAATGGATTAGACGAGTTATGATAAAACGTTATATAAGTCAAAACATCCAAGAATTAGGGCGGGGCGAAGAACGGAAAGGTTTAAATACTTTCTGTATGCAAATGCTTCATAAAATATGAATTTCGTATGCAAAACTGGATTCAGTGTTTTGTACCAGAGTTGTGGAGTAAGTTGGGGAACTATTGTTTGGAAGTTTTATGTAAAAATTAGCTTCGCAAATTAACGGCATAGAGGTTTGTTTTGGCATAATTATATTAAACTAGATACAAACGTCCGTCGTGTTGAGAGAGCTAAGTTTACTTCTGGTACTTATACTTAGGGGACCTATATTAGGTATACGTATCTTTAGAACGAGAAACGTACCTAGACTTGTTAGACTTGACTTCGAGTCCGATTGGTGTCAATAATTTTTCTATGGAAAATGTTTAAGTAACATAGTACCTAGCAGATACAGATAATTTTTCAACTTATTTGTAAATCCAAGCAATTCATAGAAGAAGAGGTCCATTATTTGTTTTTTGTCGCATAGGTTACACAATAAACCTCATGCGCCACAAGAGAAACGGGATTTTACTCTCCTATCTTTCAATAAGTGTAAGACTTTTTTTCAGACGATAAACAAAGATGTTCATATAAGGTGGATTATGTCTGACTTAACGCACAACAAAAATGAAAAAGTTAGTAACCTAAAAAGAGGGTCAACGAATAACTTTACGAAAAATATCTACAAACTTAATTTTGTTTTTTTTTCAACTTTAAATTTTTTCTTCGTCTATGTCGATGTAACAATGCTTATATTTATAATGTTTAAAATCCATCAACACATTTTACACAGCTCTATAATAGCATCGATTCTCAAAAACGAAAACATAGATGTGTGTGTACCTTGAATGTTGATACTGAGCAAAGACATTTAATTTTTTTCGGTAAAATTCATTCATATTGAAAGCACTTTGCCCTTCATATGTTGATATAAAGCCAAGAAAATCACGAATTGAATCTTTGTAAAAAGTCAATACGAAGAATATTTCTCGGGATCTGTTGGAGACGTGAAAAGCGAAGTTCTCAGAACATTCTAAATAGAATGCCTTGATTTATTTTAATTAGTTCGCGACTCGGCTCGGAGTTCTGATGCAGAACAATATATATACGGACTGATAGCGGTACATCATGAAAGACTAAGAAAGTTACAGACGATGAGAATATTAACAACTAGCCGTGTTTACGGCTGCTACAACGAATTCAAAAAGTACGGTTAAAGTAACTAATATATTTCGCCTTTTAATCCATTAAAAATGTTTTATTTTAATGTGTACTAGTCGCGTAATCTACAGACAATAGCGTAACTTAGTTAAAAGTAAGGTTGGGCCACCGTGAACGCGACTGTAAAGCATCCAAAACCTCAACTCATAATTTAAAGTAGTAAATAAATTAACTAATATCTTCGCGTTTTAATCCGTTAAGTGTTTTATGTAAATGTGCACTACTCGCGTAAACTAAAGACAATAGATAGCGTAGTTAAGTTAAGCGTGTGTTTGGACAGTAAAGCATCCAAAACGTCGGGTCGTAAATAAAATATATTTTGCAAATAAATAACTTATCTATTTTGCGATTTAGACAGTTAAGTGTTTTATTTACTTTCGAAAACTACAGGCAATACACAGCGTAGCTTAGTTTAGCAAATGTATGGTCCTCACGGTGGTTCGATAAACACGAAATTAAAATAACTAATTAGTTTCTAGTTAAAAACAGTTGTTTTAAGACCACGACTGACAGAATTGTGGAGTGAGATAAGCTGTAGGTGTGCACAGCTAGCTATACATAGTTAAACTTAACACATTCATACTGCCTGCTCTCCCGGGAGGCGCTGAACTTAATTTCGGCAATTTAGCAGATACTGTCCCTCCGAGAAAGATAACTGAACGTTTACTGTTATGCAGCCCTTGGCAATACTCTAATGGACTATGCCTTGTATTTTACTAGCGAAAGTTGTGTCGTGCCCCCGAAAAGGTCACAAATGACACATCAAAATATGACTATGTTCAACTTTCAGTTATAGAATTTCATGGAACTGAAAAGTACGTAAGTGCTTTGTATCGAAGGGCTGGTGGATGGTTTTTTATGACAAAGAACTGACAAGCGATGGGGTCACTTGGTGGATGGTGCAATACTAGATATATACTGTCTGTAGTTTACGCGAGTAGTACACATTTAAATAAAACACTTTGACGGTTTAAAACGCGATATATTAGTTAAACTTATTTGACAAAGATTTTTGGTCCCCGTGACTACGGCTGCTGCAAAGCATCCGAAACGTCGGGCCGAAGTTAAAAATCATTTTCAAATAAGTTTAACGAATATATCGCGTTTTAAACAGTTAAAGTGTTTAATTTAAATACTAGATATATGCCAAACACCTAAACAAAATGCGCTGTCGATCTTGGATTTAGACTTTCGGAAATCCACAGACTGAAACATTATACTTCACAGCTTTTGACATAGGTGGGCGTTGGTTGGAATTTCGCTCATATGTTTTTCAAAGGGTTCAAACATGTACAAACATGTTAGAGGAGAGCAGACAGGGGTTCACCTGGTGGAAGATGAAATAACCCAGCCATTTAACACCTAAACAAGATGCTCTATCGGCCTATTTTTGCTTGAAATATTTTAAAGAAAAATTACAAATTGACCCAGTGAGAATCAAACCTTACGACCTGTTTATTATCAGCCATACATTGCTACCGTTAAATAACAAACTAACAATTTTGCGGCATTTATATAAAAAACATTCACTACATTTTCCCGACGAGAAAAACAATTTTCCAGCAATTTTATCATTATTATAGTTGAAATCATTTGGAGTGGGCTCGTGTACGCGTAGTTGTTATAAGAGTACTCGTGAATTGGGGTTCCATGTCTATTTTTATCCAGGAAAATCCAGCAAGTGTTATAAAGATAAGTAGCAACATTTTGACATTAATTCCATTTAAATGTTACTTTTTAATATAAGTTGCAAACTAATAAGCGATAGTGAGTATCAAAAAAATCCAATAGCCTGAAATACTGCGATAATAGCACCCGAAGGGCTGACGATAAAAATGACATAATGTAAAAAGGGTAATATCGATAAATCTTTTCGTCAGAGCACGCTTTGCTGGATTTCATATACGTCGATATTCGTTAAATGCATCACTAGTTTTAGCGATCTACAGAACTGGATGCGGCTTCGTTAGATCCGTTTGAAATTTGTCAAAATTTCCAAAAATATAAATTTATATAATTTATACACCAACATATATCTACATACGTATAGTTTTTATTTTTAATATATAATATAATTTATACATGTGTCAGGGCAAAAGCAGCACATCTGTTAATTTTAATTGATATATTAAAACTACTTAAAGCCTAATCTATATAAATAGGAAACTATTGTGTGACTAACTTATAAATTTAATAATTTTCAATTAAATACTTTACGTGAGTAGCACACAATTAATTTAAAAAAAAATTAACGGTTTAAAACGCAAAATATATTACTTAACTTATTTAACAACTATGACGAAAGGTTGTTATTAAACGTCGGATCGTATTTAAAAGAAATTTTAAATAAGTAAAGTAATACTTTTTTCGTATTAAACGGTTAAAAGTGTTTTATTTAAATTTGTAACTGTCATTGTCATAAATTCTTGGCACACGAATTCTACAACAGGGCTAAGAATATAATCTCTTCTCTCTGGGAGTTTTCTGTACCATCTAGCACTGACTAGAAGGCGGGGTAGAATTATAATAACACCGAATGACATTGACATGGCCCCTCAAAATACAGATGGTTTTGCCCTTATCAAATAATGATTGGCTTTTATTTTGCGCAACTTTTTCTCGTTGAATTATCCAAAGTCCCCTTCAATCCGGGATTTTTATTTGAGTGAGAATTTATTGAAGTCTCGCTTTGAATTTTAATGTAAAACCTTAAATACGACATTAATAAAATCTCTCATTTCAGAGCCATCGCAAAAGTGCAGAATTGTTAGTTATACACTGACATTTCTGCGACACTTCGGTCACGGTCACAAAAGTCGGAAACAAAGAAATCATTCAGAGTATTGTCCCATTTTCTGTGAAGATTCTTTGCTCTAAATTTCTCGGGTTTTAATCTATCAGAGAACTGAGGTTTCACAGCTTTAGCCTCGGCGTTATGTAATAAATTTGCTCTCAAAATAAAGCGAGTACTTTGACTATTAATAGATCAAATCGCTTTTTATTCAACAGTTACATGCGTACTGAAATATTATCTTAGTGTTAAAAGTACCATCTATACTCCATGCAGATAAATTTCTACCATTAGACCAACGAGTAATTTTTTTATCATTTCATTTTAAGTGTGTCGCAAACTGAATCCCTTAAACAAAGCCCTGATCATAACTTATGGCGCAACACTCATTATAGCGTCGATTTTATCGATAATTGGCTCCCATCACTAATTGGTTCTGACATTAATTAAGCAAGTTTTCAATTTCAATCAACAATTAAAGCGAGACTTACCGATATGGATACTAGGAACTGTTTTATACAATTCACTTTTATAAAAGTAATCGACTACGGTATTACTGTTTTGATACCTCGTTCCTCTTAGGCTTGGGGCATACAAGCGATCATTTGTTCAGCTCTGTGCCCTACTAGACCGAAACAGTTTTATGTTTCGTATCCGTAAAAGAGGTGAAAATTGTCAGTAAGGTTTTGTTTGGCTTTTCTACAAATTCAAACGACTTTTCGTAAGCAAATATATATATATGGAGACAGATAATTCTGATAATAAACTGACTAACTAAAAACTGTCTGCTAGTAGCATGCATGTATCCACATTAGATTTCGCACCAATTTTCATAACAATGACGTCACCGAACAATACATGTTGATTTGACTCACGGCTGTTGTCAAATCAACAACCGCATTGTGTTACGCAAAACAAATTATTTGTTTTAAAAACTTGAATTATACCACATAATGGTCGTAGGACATACCTTGGAAGTCTTTTAATTTTAGTGAGCACATTGAGCTTATATATAATTTGAATCAAATGTTGTCACGGACGGGATTCGAACCGACAACCAACGGCGGAACATGCGGTTGTTTTGTCGAAGTTAATACGATACGACACCGTGACAACACGTGAAAACACTGTTGTTTCAGTATTTTACTGAAACGACAGTATTTTTCATATATTTGTACGCAAATAGTCGCCGTGAAGAGAACCAGCCGTATCACTTTAAAACAGCAATTGGAAATTCATTTCTTTTTAAGAACTAATAAATGAAAAATTCAATTGAAAGCTATCTGCGCGAGTGCTTTTCGCTCGGTTAAATCAGGTTAACTATAGAAAATATTAAATGATTTTATTATACGGATTCAAAATGGGGTTTGATATTATTTTTTATCGGGGACCGATTTCAAGTGTCACTTGTTCTTGTAAAATTGTATTAACCAATCGGAGAACCAATTGGATACTGGAAAAGTTTTTATGTCATTTAATGACATTTGGCACCTTATGAATACTGTTATTAATTATAGGCGTAAAGATGGCTTAAGCAGTAAACTTTTCTAGTACTCTTGTACCCAATGTTTCTTTTCTTTGACAAAGGAAACACACTGGATGTAAGATAAAAAATCCCGGCCATACCAGAGATGCGTCGTCGACCTATTTGGCTTTGGACATTCGGAAATCGATAGACTAAAACCAAAACGATGGCTTACCAACTCGAAAACCCTCGGAGACTTTAGTTATAAGACGTTCTATATGACTTAAGCTTATCAATAATATTAAATTCAAAGGGAGGCCCTACATTTTTAAAACTTCCAAAAAATATTTTTATTAACAAGAGACTACAATTAAAAGTACATACCTCGTTCTCCTTTCATCTCCTGGTTTCCCCTGTACCAAACAATCTTTGCAGCCGGCTTGGCGTTCTTCACTTGGCATTCCAGCATCACATCTTCTCCTTCTTTCACTTCCAGCTTCGAGTTATGGGGGTGATTAACAATCTCCACAGCATTGGGAGGAGCTGGAAAGAAAAAAAAATAGTTTTTATTAATTGTTACATGTAGTTACACAAATAGTTCAAAATCTTAGGCTTTTGAGTAGTAAGTTGAACTACATTATTTATATTACAAACACAGTATTATTTTAATTATGATTGAGATAGACAGACAAGCATGTTCAATTAATAAGAATAAAAAGACGACTAGTAGTAGTAGACATCTAATCTATGGATTGTGGATGTGGTGGTTCGTGATCGGGACAGAATTTCGATTTTCCTATCACACGTTTAGAATCTAGATTGTCTAGACGGCGTTAAGCCACACGTAGTAATGAACCAGAGAGCTTAACGAAATTAATATATATTTAAATTGTTGACCTTCAAAATTACGTTGCGACGAATGGCATTAAACATTTTATTCCTGATTTTTGATCGAAAAATTAATATTTTAATACTTTTATCTTCAAATCCAAAACCGACATTTGCTAATTTATCGGTTAGAATTAATTTGCGCAATTCAGCGAAATTTAAATGAATTATGAGTTTAGAATGAATATTAATGGCGAATTTATGAAAAACGTTTTTATTAAATCCCGAGCCGCGATGTCACTGTGGCGATTTTATAATATTAAATCTTTTTATTTTTGAATATGCATTTTTATAACTTATATTATATATCTCAATATTTAATAACTCCAACGGTTGTTGGAGAGTTTGGGAAGTAGTTGACTGTTAAAAAGAACGCCTTAATGGTTTAAAACGCGTCTTGTATTAGTTAAACTTATTTACAAGTTATTTATACCTCCATTAACTTAAACTAATTTGTAAATAAGTTAACCTAATATATTTCGCGTTTTAAACCGTTAAAGTGTACTACTCGCGTAAATTACAGACTGTATAGTAATTGAGTGATTATTATTCAATAAATAACGCTACGGAACTACATAGCTATATACTTTTATAGACTTTTTAAGCTAGGGAAGAGACGGTTTTGCGTTGAGAGTTTGATTGACCTATTAAAAAACCACATTCGTTTCAATTTCAATCCAAGAAACGCAATAGCCGATGTCATAATAAATATGAAACACAAACCGACTTGACCACAGAGGGAAACGTGGGAACAATACACTTGTAATGCAATAGATATTTACTTTCAATTCATCTGTTGAATACATATAGTGTTAAAAATGTTTCATGGCGGTTCAGAGGAAAACAAATATTTCTCACTATTGCAGAAAAACTACGACTGCAACAATAGATGAAACCGCCCAAGTGCGGGCCGGGTTCACGCACAAAGGGTTCCGTACTATTAACTTCTCTTAGCAAATATACTGCATTATTTTTAATAATAGAGGAAGATAGACAAGCATGTGGTTTACTTTATGGGAGATAAATAATGCCTGCCATATAACATCTACACAAGATACGCTTTCGACCTGATCGGTCTATGGGTTCGGATATTCGGAAATCCAGATTTAATCCGAAACGCGATTAAATTTCACGGCTACTTCATCTGCGGACGGTGATTCGTGACCCGGACGGAATTTCGACATTCCTAACGCCTTTGATTTATTGTCCAGACTGCTAGACAACATGTTACAGTAGAACTTTAAATTTAAAAATTAGAAACACGTTGGCTCACCGGATCCAGTAAATCGCGTTTTAGTGGTAACAGAATTACAGAATTGATGGTATGAAATTTAAAAGGAATAAGAAATTACGTACTCTAGAACACAGATACCAACGAAGCTACGACCAACAGTTTCTGGACAGACAACAATTTATGTAAGCTCATATGTGAATATACCTACATGCATCTTATGGAAGGAACTAAATAAGTATTAGAAACTTAGGGTAAATAAACTTTGCGTGGGACATATTTTTATCATCTTATCTTGAAGTCAAACAAAGCCGAGACCGCTATATATACTGATGTGATGTCGGTAGTGTATACATTACACACGCGGGAAATTATAAATTTTAATCATGTTGATTTTGTTTTTTTGTTTTGTAGGTAGGTACTCGTATGTTTACTACAGATTAGATTAGGTAGACCTATAAAGACTTGAAGGCAGCCATCAATGCAAAACGGAGCTGGAAAAAAAATACCTTTTTCAAGAATTTGACGGTGTCGTTGGTTAAAAATCGAAAAATTAAAAAAATAACCACACGGACAGGACTTGAACTGGCATCCACAGCGTTTCGTGGTGTTGCTCTAACCAATTGAGCTACTGTGTTCTAATCCTGTTCACGAACCACCGTCCACAAAAGAAAAATAAAGTTTGATCGCGTTTCGATTTTAGTCAGTGGATTTCCGAATATCCCAAGTCATTTATAGGTCGAGCGCATTTTGTTTAGACGTTATATGGCTGGTGTATTTTACCTTATATCAAGAGAACCCCATGGTTGTCTGTATTCTTCTATGATAAAAAAGGATAAAAAAATAGTATCAACAATGCTTTAAAATTTACACTGTAGCATCATAAAGTATGAATAAGTGGGGCATAATTTCCATCCATTCATCATTCATAGGGAGACTTGCTTCGTGTTTCGTTTAACCGAAATCTCTTAATAATTTGTGTGAACAACGCAGATTTATTACGTAGTCTCGCTGCGGTCCAAGTAAAAGGGTGAAGCGTGTAGGAGTTTCGTTCTTCGGTTATGAGTAGGATAATTGAAATATTCTAGTACAATCATTCTTTATTGGCGTTTTTAAGTGTCCTAGTGTCCGGCTTGAAATGATCATTTTCATTATTCATTTGATTTGATGAAATACAAAAAAAGCCTTATTTTTACATATTAATACTAAATCTTTTGTAAAACGCTGAAATATTTGTTCAGTCTAGTTTCATGCAAATCCAAAACTGACGTCTTTGTTATTTTCAAAGAACAAATTACCGAACATAATCACTAGAAAAAGATAGTATTCAAATTGTAATTAACATCTTATTCTGCGTAAAAGAAAAGGCGTCCGTTACAGAGTATATACTATAAAAGAGTCGCAGTTTCATTAAAAATACATCTCGCTTCAGTCCATAGTTCACGTCTTAGTAACAGGATATTGCTGTCTAGCGACCAACGGTTCCGCTCCCCTGCCCCCATACAAAGGTGGGAAACTCCGCTTTGTTGTGGCCAGTGGTTGACAACGCTCGGTGGCTCGTTAGTTTCTATTTTTATTAATTGTCTTTGTTTTGTTAAAATTCTTACCTCATTAACTTGAAATATTTCAGTAGAATCTAGATTTTAATTTTCATAACAATACCTTTTTTAACCTCTAACGGGTGCGCTAGTTAAATGTTGTCTTAACTTATATGTACCTACACTAAAAAGGTGTATTATTTTTCTAGCACAAAGTTTTTTTAATGTGCTTTAAGTGACGGTTATCTAGTAATATAAGACGAAACAAACAAATTTTTAATATTAAAATTTCTACTACTTTTAGAAACTGTAGGCGATGACGATATAACATACATATACCCTTTATCATTTCAAAAGATTATCCCAAGCATCCCTAAGATTCAAAGCATGCGGGTTGAAATTCTTTTGATGTTACGAACAATAACCGTGCAAACTTAAAATAGGGTTGTCACTTAAAAAATATATTTTAATTTGTTTCAAGTACTATTTATTACGTTGTAATCTCTCGGTTCTATCTATCGAGTATTACAAAGTATAAGTAGTGCCTACTCAAATATATGTATTTTTATCTAAGCAATATTGGTAGATAACAGTTTAATGTGAAAAAGCACGGTAAATGTTTAGGTGAAATATATATATTTTTTTATTAATTTTGTTCTTATGTATAATCCCTAACGATACATTGCTTGAATGAACAGTCTTATAAATTACAGGTGATCAGACTTCTGCTGCGTGTCTGACAACTTTGTAATTATTATGCTTACGAGAATTGAACCTAGATACATTTGGACTAGCTTCGGAGTCGTACAAATGTGTTCCCAAGGCACCGTAGCGAGCTGGTGCTCGCTACGGTGTGTGTTAAGTGGTTCTGGTCGGTTATTGTCTCCGAGGAGGTTGTAGTACGATTTACCACACTCCCTAGTCACTTTTGCCCGACGGGGGAGTGCATTGGACGTTCACAGCTACAGTTAAAAAAAAGCTTCATTTGGACTTGCAAAATGTTGACTGAGCCACACATAAATGACGTTCAATTAATCATTGTTCAATGTATATATCTGACTTATAAGATGTCCTTATTTTAAACAGCGTTCATATTATAGTTTATCTCATCTCAGCCCTACATCTGACGTAGTTACATAGAAACTTTGACGCGTACAATGTGTCCGGGCTACATCGACTGAGTTAATCTTTGCCTGCCTTTGTGCAAAGTTCCTCCAAAGACATTGCATATATTGAGTTAACACTCAGGTATCAACGCTATTAAGGTAGCACAGCTTGAAGACCACAAAAAATAGGTAGTATATAGGTAAAAGAAAAGACATTTGCGATTTTTTTTTAATAACAGCCATATAAGAGAACGAGATTCAAGCGATAGGCTTATGTATGTACGAAAAAAAAACACGCTTAATAAATGATGGCAGTATATAAATTAAAAATCGATTTTAGATTGAAAAATTTCAGACTTGAACTAGTCCCCACAGCGCCCGCGCTGTTCCCTCCAACCACTGACACGGTAGCTCAATTGATGTGATTTAACTTAAACAAAAACTTATTTACAATTTACACAAAACAAAAGAAGACATATTCCAAAAATTAGGCTTCCCGCCAACTGAGGTTTAAGAAACGTGTACAATATTGAAAATAAATGAATCGTGGAATGCGCACGTCGTTACATGTCTTTCGAAAACCCTTAAAAGTCCTTTAACAGGTTATTACGTTACTTTTCACGCGTTCACCCTCATTTTAGGGTTCTGCATTTGAAATTACTGAATTTTTATCAGCCTTTAGTGTTACATATAAAAGTAAAATAGAGTTACATTTATAATTTATAAACATTTCTATATGCACTTCTGAAAGTTGTAAGTCAAACAAACTTAATTTTTCCC